TCGCACCGGTAAAATTTTTCCAATTTTTTTTTTAGTTGTATATAGATATATATTATTTTACTCTTTTTTTTTTGTTTTGTTTACTTGACTTGCTCAGTCGTAGACTCTAATATAAAGAACAAAAACGGGATGGTGTCGTGTCGCGGGGTTTGCGTTTTCTATAGTTTTTTTTTTGTTTTGCTTTTGCGAGAGAGCCGTTTTGTGGATTTGCACTCGAATTTCTCCCTCGCCTTGCTTTGTACGAATAGTTAATGGTTACAAAATAATAATAAAAAAAAATATATATAAATCATAATCAACGAAATCACATTCATATAGAAATATAGTACTTAAGTGTTAATAAAAACTACGGTTACTGGATCGTCCACTCACTTTGATCAAAGTTTCTTATTTCTTTCTTTGTTTTGTTTCGTAATAATATCACAGTTGCGGCTGAACAGGACAACAAGATTTCTTCGTGAAGAGCTCGGATAAAAAATAAAATCGTTTTGCTCTCTTACTCTTTCTTTTTCTCTCGTCGCAATGTTATCGTTTATATTGTCGTGTTCACTCGCCACCTCTAAAAATCACCGACTTAGATTTATTAATACAGCGTCAACATCATCATCATCATCATCGTCCAATCAGGCCTGCACCTTGAGCAGGATCTTGAGCTGGTGGGCCAACTGTTCAGGCTCCTGCTTGACGAAAGCGATCGTCTGATGATGGAAGACGGCGCCGTGGTGAGGAGCCTGCATCCAGTGCTGGGGAGGCGGCGGTAGCGCCGAAGGCAGGGGCGGCTCGGTGAACTTGCAGCCCGCGTAATGACCTGCGAGCAGACCCGGAGAAGTCCTGGGACTCGTCGACGGGCTGCTGCCGCCCTGATGCTGCGGGCTCGCATCTCCGCTGGAGATGCTCTTGAAGTGCTTCGGGCTGGATCCGTGCCGGATGCTGGTGCTCCGATGCCTCAAACCCCTACTCAATTCAAGGTTGCTCCTGGCCATCTTCGATCGGTATACTGCTTTACTTGTAAAACTGCTTTTCGATTGATATTCCACAATATATATATGTATGTATATATATACACAAATCAATGTTTAAAAACAGAAACGAAAATTAAAAACAGAGTATCACAGAGGTCGTTCTCTTCTCCAGGGGGGGTTGGGTTGGAGGATGGATCTGCTACCAGATGGACCCACTTCCGGTTCCGTGCGGATCGCAGTTAACAATCGCGTGTGCGTTTTTATCTTCTTCTTCTTCTTCGCTTCTATCCGTTTTGATAAACAACACAAGATGGAGGCGCGAGTGTACAAAACAAAGGACTCACAACAAAATGGTGGCGCTCCTCCAAACATATGGGGGGGACTCGGCCCCGCGTATCGTATAGACCGGATGGTGCTCAATCTGCTCTCCTCGTCGTCCAACTCGAGGTGTCGTCCAGCTCCTTTGGGAATTCGTTGTGGAAACTCACAGAGACCAGCAGCAAACAAACAACAAACACAATATCGTTCGTTCCTCGGACTCCTTCTTTTATTAGTAGTAGTAGTAGCTCGTCTCACTGTTCGCCTTCCTTCCTTCCTTCTTCTCTGGCCGTACGAAAACAACTGAGTGCTGCACACAAAACACGACTCCCTGGGCGTCGCGCTCTCGCGTCAATCGATACAACTAGCTGACTGTCCGCCCCCCACTAACCGCCACACGTTTATATAAGACCGCCCCACCATCCCCCCTAACGATTTCTACCGAACACCTGTCTCGCCTCGTTCCGAAACCGCTCGATCGAGCAACAGTCCTGTTTATATCTGGCAACTCGTTCCTCACGAAGCCCGTTTTACGAAACGGAAAAAAGAAACGACGCGCGTTTCATTCACTCGCACGCACACGATCCATGCAGAGCAACAACATCGGGCACAGGAACAGAGAGCAAACAACAACAACAAAAAAAAAACAACAGTACATATAACAGCTACACACAACGCACGGCCATACGATTTTCGAACTTTCTAATAACCAAATTTCGTTCACGCTCGCCTTTATGTAACCGAAATTTTTACTCAACTCGCGATTGCACTCGTCCCAATTAATAGAAACATGTATAAAGGATAAATGTAAACTGACAATAGTAATAGTAATATATTATTTGCAACAAGCAAAAACATGATGACGCAAAAAGTTACTACTTATATTCATTTCCTTCATAATTAACATGGCAATAGCAAATGAGAAACTAACTACAATAATTTAAAATTTGGACAAGAAAATACTTGCTAGTTTAGTAACAACACGTAAATCGTTCAAGTACACAAAATTGAAATAAACAACAAAACAAAAGTTACTGGATAACATTTCTATTTATAACAATTAGTATTACCAACTGAAATTTATTTAATTTTTTTTAACAAACAAAAACTTGAAGAGCTAAAATGTTACTACTACTTAACATTTTTATTTAAAATTATGTAAAGTTTAAGTTATTTTCTAGATTAATTGCATAAATTGAAGCTATTCTTTACGATGCGTCGAATTTCAATTGCAAATATCTAGACCAAACCATAAACAATGATACAATTAAAAGGAAGCGGATGCTCGTTGATAGTAGTAGCAACGAATGATATAATTTGTCCCTATTCTCTGAATTACTTGTACAAATAATATATAGGATAATTCATATATTTTAGTATAAGTACAAGTTTTCATTATGATTTATCTTATGACTGAAGTCTACTTTTTTTTTTGTTAATAATAATTGCTTAATTCGAAGCAATAATTCATCGAGTTTGCATATAGTTATCATCTTGATAACCTCTTCTCAGCAAATGCTTAAAAAAAAGTCATTGATTACTTTTGAATAAAAAAAGTTGGCGGTTGAAATTGACAGTCAACGAGCATGAAGTTTCTTTTGTTTTTGGTCAATAACAATTGATTATTTGTTATTAATTCTCATTTTGTTTTTGTAATCGACGATTTTGACGTGTGTATTACTGAAAAAGTCGTTATAAACGTGAATAAATTCATTGACAGATGTTATTGAACGGCCGCTGCGCCCTAAAACGCATACACACACACGAAAAAAAAATATCAAATATGGAACCTTAAACGGGGTTTTCCCCTCGCTTCTAATGCGTTCTATGTGAACTAACCGACGCATCCCTTCATTTTGTTTCCTAATCCATTTGGTCATATGCTGCTTGGATCGCAATGACAAAGTTCAAATTTCTAATATAGTACTGGTCTTAAAGCTTACTACTTCACTTACAAACTACAAATTCATGAAACAGTAACAGTCAGCGAAATATATGAAATAATAATAAATAAAAAAACTGTAAACATCTCTGACTGCGTAATTAATCATGACACACATTCGAGTCTTAAAATAATTGAGTCTGCATAAACATTTCATTGTAATCATCAAGCGTTTCAGAATATTTGTTTCAAACTGAACGCCTTTCCGTGTCGACTTTTAACTTATTAGTTAATACTGATTAAGTGTGAAAAAAAAATATAGTGTAACTTTAAGTATAATCGAAACCCAGCCACGATTCTGACGGAGCCTTCATCCGCAACCTAAATAGTCTGGGCCGAATACTGTTAGAGTGGCCTCATGCCAAAAACGAAAGATGGAGATGAGAAGTTTCGAAAAAGAAGAAAAATATGATTCTTTCATAACTTTACCTCGACGAATTTGGAAGTGGTCCCAGGATCAATTTCCACGTGAAATACCAGACTTGCATTAATCTGAAAGATTAGAAACGAGCCAACTAAGAAATAAATTATTCACTTGTTTCCAACGTTACTGATATTTAGTGCAATTAATTCAGTTGTTTCGAACAATCCAAGAAAGTTGTACATTTGTATTGATTTATTTCCAGGGTAACGAAAAATAATAATGAAATGCTTGGGTTAACATCCTGATGCAAGGCTGCCTGTTTCTATATTTAACTAAATACCAAGGATTGTAAACAGTTTCGTTTCTATCCAGTTTTGTTTTTTTTTTTTGGAAACAAATATGCATATGTTACTACATTATTATTATCATTTTTTTTTTGCATTTCGTCCGTGAGCCGTTTATTTCGAAAGTGACACATTCTTTCTTCTTCTGTTCGAAATCATCCTCGTTTTGCAAAACAAGAAAATAAATTTCAATATCATTCAATGAAATATCAACAGTCGAAATCATAAGATTAATTAATTAAAACTAGAACTTTGATAATGAGATCCTGATGTGTCTAACAGACATTATTGGCTTGAGGTCACAATATGTGCTGATAACTCGGAACGATACAAAAAGATTTTAGAAATTTGTTCTGACGTCTGGAATACTTTGAATTATCTAAGAAATTTATTGATATTTGTTTTGTTCTTGTCGTGTTCGCTTAACAAAAACTTTCCAAAGCGAATTCGATTTCTTTCCACTCTTCATTTCACTAATAATGTTAATTCAGTAAATGTTTTGTTTTCGTGTTGCATCACATCGAATTTCCGGAAACGTCTAACCTCCAGCTCTTACAAATTTCTTTCTTTCTCGACCTCGTAGTGTTCCTTAAATAAAAATTAACATATTTTCTTGAGCTGGTTTGACCCAAACCATACAATCTTGATTTAAGCTTCAGTTTGTTTGGAAATAAGAAATTTGTTACTTTGCAGAAAATGTGTGCGTTTCGTTGTTATCAGCAACGATTTGCAGCTGTTGTGTATCCATGTAAACTAAACAAAACAAAACAAAAAAAAATGGAAGCAATTCGTTTGCAACGCGAAATGAGGAATAATATTCGAAGCGAACGCATAAATGGATAGGAAACAAGAACGCTGTTGTGTCGAGTACGTCAGTTGTTCTATTATCGCGTTGCTAAGTGAGGAAATTGTTTAAACAGCCTCGACAATTTCCATCGTTATTATTGCTGCTGCATGAATTGAAATAAATCGAACATTGATTTCCATAATTGACGGCACGAGCAAATCAATTCATGTAAATTTTTCATAGACGAGCATGCTTTCCAGAATAAAAAGTTTTCTTTATCACAAGGAAAATAGTCAGATTTTTCAATCAACAATTTGAACTTCAACCTTCGATATCTTCAATAAAACTCAATAGATTTGTTTACCTATGAATTCTATAATTTTTTTTTCAGTTATTTAATGAACTTCTGAAATGACATCTGAAGTTAATTCAACCTTGAATGTTTCCATGGCAATTATCAATAGATTTTAAAAATTCAGATGTAAACGAGATGTTTTAAAAAATAGAATTCTTGAGGAATCACCAAAGTGAAACTGAACATTTTTGCTACAGTCTTTGTTGGGGTTTGGGTTATTTTTAAAGCGAAGGCTACCACCATCGTCTTCACCATATGGGTTCCTTCTTTGTGACGAGCCGCGATCGTCTTTCGTTTTTCCCCAGCCCTCACGAAACCCTTGAAAGGAAAAAGGTCAGAAACTTATTCGAGCCTGAGAAAGTTCCAAGTTCCAAACTGAACGGGAAAAAAAAAATATGTTACACAGACGACTAGAAATATCCGTTATACAATGATAATCTAATCGTTTCTTTTCACATATACAATTAGATTTTTCATTTAACATATTTATTTTGAATTATCTATTTTTTTTTTGATGAAGATGATTAATGTCTTAATGACTCAAGATATTGAACAATTTACAAAATAATTGTAATATCATTAGCCTACTTGGATCACGTACATTTTCATTTGTTTTAGATCGTTGCAACAGCTTAATTATTTTGACATTCGAGTATAGTTCCGGGGAAAGTCGAACGAAACAACCACTATGAATCACGCCAACGCGCCAACACTATTTCCTTGTTAATTAATTTAATTTTGAATTCATAGCTGTAACATCAACAGCTACAACTTTAGTAGTAGCTAAAATATGGAAGTTCTTAAAGAAATAGTTGATTGATAAATTGAAGACTACTTGTCGAATGTAGGTCAAAAACTATTGCCTAATTGATAGTCAACTAACACTGTTTCCATGTGGTATTATTAATACTGCAGATAGTTATTTATAATTGAGTGGACGTGTTGCGAAATCGGACGATGTAATAGAATTTACGAGTCCTTTGGGCCGTTTTATGACCATTACCGAAATGGAGAAAAAAAAAGAAGCGTTTAGGTAATCCTCTGGCCGCCTTGATTTTGCTGAAAGAAAAATAATAATAATAAGATTTCATGTATCTTTTGTTTTGTGCTGTTCGAAAATAATCCCCGGCCGACTCCGTATATACAACACAACACAACGCACCAGAGGAGGCCGTTTTTGTGTTTCGTACTAAAATAAACTTGGGGAATTATATAACGATCTTCTCTCGGTCCGAAAAACGTCAGATCGAGGTTCGGATTTTGAGAGAAAATCGAAGGGCGGACAGGCAGACAGGTGGTTCTACACTCAGGTATAGTGTTTTACGTTTCTTCAGCATCCACCAGATTTTTTCGGAATCTGAACAAAGATGCACCTGAGCTTCGTAAAGTCCCATGTAAATAGGTGTAACGAATGTCCGTCCTGGCAGTAAAACCTTAGTTAAATTTAATGGTCGCACTTTAATGGCCATAGAAAAAATATAAGTTGCAACAATAAATGACGAAGCTACAATATTTCATAAGCTTTGTATCGAAATGTATAATCTTATCCTAGATTTTATTCACTTGTTTCCAATTAGTTAGTGATACCGATAACAATGGAGCTGTTGAGTATTTTCAAAGTTTTATTATTATTATTATTACTCACAGAAAATCTATATATATAATTTACACGCAACGATTATAAACAGGAATAGCAAAGTTTAGAGTTCTCTGGAATTGTACACTACATTTGTTATCAATTTCCCCATATAATCGTATCTCGTTTACTCAAAAAAACACTTCAATTACTAAACTTTACTACTTTTTACAACTACAAAACTAAAGATTACTCGATTTTATTGAAACAAAAGCGAATTTTAAGTTTCCAAGGAAACTAAGTTTTTTTTTCCCAATTTTGCATAACTATTTTTGCACTATCGTCACAAACTTGGTAAAAATAGTTAATTAGATTAGGAAGAAAACTCTAATTGCTTGCACGTCCATAAATATAAATAAATACTAATTTTTTCTTGATAAAATAAATAAATTTCGTTAGACAACATTAAATGCATTAAAATAACGTCTAGATTTATGTTGGAAACTAATGAATTATTGGTATTCTTCAAGCGCAAACATTTCTTGTCCGTTGTTTTATATCTTTTAGAAAGTGTTTCACTTTGTTTGGTGCGAACGAAAGCATAAGTGAGGAAAGAAATAAATTTTATGAATATTTAAAGCTAAGTAAGTTCATTTATAGTTGAGAATGTTTAAATTAACAACAAAATTTGTTTACGGTGGAGCAACTTTCGTAATTGTATTTATGCAACCCAATAAACAAATGGATTTGTTTAATCAATTTTACTGTTTGAATGAAAAACGTTTGAATCAACTTGAATTATATTTAGAAACGTGCGAGTATGAAATTGAATTTTCTTAAGTTGTTTTTGATTGTAAATGTGAATTCATACTCTAATTATTAATTTTGTTATTGTTAGTTAAAAATGTTGTGATAACATTCACTAAAGTTACAAAACTTGCAATAACAAAGTGTTTTATAATAGATTATTGATGTACGTCATTCGATCATGTCGAGTTATTGTTATTACAATGATTATTAATAATAATATTTAATTGCTTAAGGAAGATTTGGGTCAGAAAGAATTGATGAAAAATAAAGTTTGCTTAATTATATGTTTCATATTTGTTTGCTTCTTCATTTCCTAAATTGTTGTTGAATCTTTGTTGCTGAAGTGCTTTGATGAGGGTTTTGATTTGTATTGAAGCTGCTGCAGACGATGGGTGTATTCGAAAAATGTGGTTCTCACATCTTTGGTAAATAATAGGAAAGTTTTGATGAAATATTATACCTGGAAAAAAATATTATATTACCTGAAGAAATGGACAGTTTGAACTATGATTTCTAATGTTTACAGTTATATTTTATTAGTGCAATACAAACATATTTAAGTTTCAGTACAAAATAAAGAGATTTTATGGAAGTAAATTTAAAGTTATATACATTTATGATACAACAATTTAAATATTGATTTTTGTTTTGAAATTATTTATTACAACTAAGTATAACTTTTATTGGTGTTCTTTTATGGCGGAATAACAGTGGAGATAAATGAAATGGGAAAGATCTAACGGAAACATAGAAATACAGCATTTATTGTGTGTAGAAGAATGAAGATGTGAGAAGGATTGCCTAGTTTGCAGGGTTGTGGGTGTTTCGAGGTATCAAAGATGGTGTTTTCGCTTCGTAATGTTGGCAGCACTCTAGAGTTCCCCACTAAATGGACGGAGTATTACTACTACTACTACTGTGCTTCCTCCACCAGTGAGGAAGAGAGTAGGGTGTTCGTAGCTGATTTCACAACAAGAAGAAAGAGGAGAACAAACGGACGAAAAAAAAAGGAAAAGTGTTCTCAGTGCTTCCGAGGCGAGAGCAGCGGAATTTCCACGGCGAGAATCGGATTCAGATTGGATCGTTTGCGGAGCAGCAGCACAGCCACAGCAGTGACGGAGAGCCAGACGATCACCCTTTTGTGTTTACATAGGCATAATGTAATAATATATAGAGTGGATCAATAGTTCTGTCCAAGTCCACATACAAATATACTACGGCTGTCGAGGAGAGCGACGAATACATCAACCTTGCCTTGATCACACTCTCAGTGATTGTGTGTATGCGTATGTGTGTGAGTGTGTGTGCGTCTGTGTGTGTACATGCTACAAGGTTGTTGTTGTTCAAATGTCCTCTACTGAGGTGCCTCCTTTTTTTTTTTGCTCCTTCCTCCCAAGCTAATCGAACGTTTCTCCGTTTTTTTTTTGGGTCTCCTCCACCATCGAACCCCTGGACCATCTTCACTCTCCGACTGTCTTCACACACACTGAAGTCAGGATGAATCCGAACAATCATGGCCAGGCCCGCAGGAACTCCACCAGCTTCAACAGGCACACCAACCCACCCAGGTCCAACCATGGACACAACCGGTGGTCCAACAGATATGGCAAGGAGTACGGAAGGGAGTACGACAATAGCTTCAATCGAGGGTACGTGCAACTCTTATTGGACATCCCACTCGATACACCCTCCCATCATGCAACACAATCATATCCATGGCCGTAGTGATTAACTTTCAGCAAACTGTTTATAGCCATGACTGCAACATAAACAAATGATTGCTGCCATCATCGCAAACAAACAACCCGACCTCACTTGTAATCCTTTTTTATAATGAACAACACAGACGAGAACAAACAGGAACACTGCGAAATGTCAGATAAAGCATTTTAAGTATGTGTGTTATGCTAATTGAATTTCACAAAACCAAATTGCGTCAACGTATACTTTTTTTTCTTTTTTTTGATTTGCAATTAATACCGATTTTGTAATTAATAACACCAATATGGTGTTACAAGGAAAATACGAAACAGAACCGGACCGGAGCTGCGTGGGCTCCAACACGTACCACTAATTGCTCGATCGGGATAATTTTAAATAATTTGCAACGCGTTCGGGATTACTATTTTCTTCTTTTGTTGCTAGTTGCTATAAATAAGAAACTGGGCACTCGGTTGTGCGTTCAATATCATCGGCTCGACGTGGTTTTGAATTTCAAAAAAAAAAGAAATCATCATTGTTGAAATGGAAAATTTTCGTTGGTGCTCTTTGAAAGGTGCGCTGTAAACAAAGGGCGTTACTGAACTGCGACGTATCCGAGCCGCATCCACGCACAACCGATTCGTTCTTTTGTATTCTGTCTGTATTTTAGCAAACTATAGTTTACACAATTCTGACTAGGTAAGTCCAATTAGATTTGCCAGTCTATTGACCTAGTCTGTAACCAAGAAGGCAATTTTTTTTTTACAGACATGTGAATTATATAAACTAGAGCTGTTATAAAAGAGCGAAAGTTTGCGCGAAACAATAAAAGTTATTAAAAAAAAAAATAATAAATTTAAACACGTGCTGTATAAAACACCACCAATTTTGGCTGTTGCAACTGGACGACATTGAGTTTATTAACACATGGTCTGCGTTTTAATTACAACATCTACAATGAGTTACGTTCTCATTAAAACCTAGATAGGAAAAAAATTGAGTTTAAAGTTGTCATGAATTTCGACTGTATAGTTTCAGGTTAGGGAACTGACTAATGCCCACCAAAGCCTAGTCATCATGGTGACTCGTATATGAACCGCACTTTGCTGGTCGACCCAAAGCACGTACGATTCTTCCGATTGTCTCATGTGATTCCTACATGTTTATTTTTTCAGAGAGTGTTTGTTGAAAGTTCACGCATATAAATAGAACGTCATTTGCAGAGAGACAAATTTCGGTCTATATTTGCTTCTGAAAAAAATTTAGAACATTCCATCGGATGTTTCTACTCTGTTATGTCATGGCTCGATAATCGTACAAAAGAACATTACGTTGTGCTAAATAAAATAAATAAGTATCTTACAATGATGATCTATTCTTTTCCTAATTTATTGCAAAATTTTTTTTTTGTATCCATGGTGGCTAGGATTTATTTGGGTCACATTAGAAAAGCTATAAACTATGCCAAATATTATGTTAATTATCCTTGGACGGATCGGTGAAATTCGGCATAAAATTCATCGTCTTCTATAATAGAATGGCTTCAATTTTTGAATATATTATAGGAAATAAGATATGGAAAGCATAGATATTTAGTAAATTAATAATTAATGATTAAACTCAAATACTCTAGTCACGTCTGAATAGGAAAGTAGAAATTGTAGTGGTTTGAATAGTTCAATCATTCTCTTCAAACATTAGAATTGATAAATGAAATCTTGTTACTAAAGTTTTAATAGAATTGCATTTAAAAGTTTGAATGCACTTGCACACTAAATTGAATCTGTTTAACAATGTTAGAACCTTGAGCGGTCAATTTTAGATTTTTCACTGTATTTCATTATTGATGTCAATCTTCAATGAAAAATTGCATCAAATACGCAATGTTAGTTGTAATAACTTGAATTATGCATTAGCAGCTAAATTTTCAGGTTGTTGGGGAAATGGCATTGGTTATTTAAGTAGTTTAAATGTAACAGCACGCTGCGAAATAAACATTTTCAAGTTTGCAACTGAAGGTTTTCTCATACCAAATAAATATATTATACATTTGGCACCGTCCGCATTTGAACTACACCGCGTTCAAATTGTGTGAATACAATATTCATTTACTGACGATGCGTGTTTCCATTTTTAGATGTATAGTAGGTGTTTTCAGTGCTCGATGTAGATTTGCAAATTGCTAGTCGAGTCTTAATGTTTAATGAAAATACAGCAATGTAATTTTATATTGTTTTATACAAACTATTTGCAAAATGTAGATGTATAAAAATAAAAGAATTAGTCGATGCGGGTAAAAGTTCAAAAAGTAAGCAACTTTTGGCTGAATAATACAGCTGAGTATAACTCGATTACTTTATCTCATGAGTATACTGTTTTTTTTTGTCGTTTGTTTGGTTGCTACTGCAAGTATATGTATATATATATATATTAGTAACGGGAGTTATCTTGTTATTGTATGGAGTTTTGTAAACGTATTCGATCCACTTTGTAATTCAATTCGCCATTCGAGTGATCCAAGTTCGCAATTTATGAATATTTCATTTCTTGCCACGTGTTTCGCCATTATCTATCGAACCCCGCCCCATCAAGTTAGAAGCACATGTTTGAAAATTGTAAAGATTGCCGTAAATGCGCTTAATATAGTCGCGACATGGGTACTTTATTTAAAGCCAATCACGTGCTAATCCAAATCTGTATGCACCACTGATTGCATCAATGATTATAAATAAACTATTTGCCGTCGTCTATATTGGCAGAGTATATTAGGATATACAGGGTCCATTAGGATATTCCATTCTTTCGCTATACAAAATTAAATGACGAAAATGTTTATATCAGCGATCTTGACTTTTGAACTGGTTTGGGAGAATATTGTGTGAATTATGTAAACTGTATCAAAGTCTCGTTTTTGGTAATAGTAATAATTGATTGATGCATTGACGTTAAGATTGTCAGGAGGACAAGTGACGTTGTCTGTTTGTCAGAATTTATCGGTCGAATGAAACTAAATGTTATTTTTGTTTTAATTCTGAAGGGAATGCTCTATGGCCAACAACGGCAGTCCGAAGGATACGAGCTACGTGCACGGCTACCCCAAATCACAGTTGAGTCCCGTTTTGAGGAACAACCATTTGCACTACAATCAGGAGTCGACAGGTGAGTTTTCTTCGTCCTCTTGTATATCGGTTTGATATTAATTAGTTGATGTTGTTGTTGTTGTTCCTCCTGGAAAGGTCAAGATAGAAGACATATAAATAATGCGCCGGAGCGGAGGCAGAGCTACGCCCCTGATCGAAGGCACATGAATAGTATAAGTGATAGGCGTCACATATCTCCACCGTTGCGTATTAATATCTGTGAAAACAATGGTAGTCTGCTGGGTTCTCCTCAGTCCGATCATCAGAGGCCGCTGCTGGACTTTAATCAGAGGCGGCACGCAAGGGGTAATCTTTACTTAATGGTTTAAATTCATGGACGTATGTAATTCTTCTCATATCTTTGATCATCTCCGTAGTCTCTTCTTGAATTACTTTTGAAATTTGTTTTTTTTTCTTCAACGCGCTTCATGAAAGTTGTTGCAGATGTTAGGGTGAGTCCGGTCCATTTCCAGCAACATTCCCCGCCGTTCTATGGAAGGCAGAGCAGCGAGGACAGTATTAAGAGCGAGAGTCCGTCGCGCAAAAGAAGAAGACTTTCCCGGTCCGGACATCACATCGAGTTGGCGTCGCAACCGGCCTCGCCTCCGAGGAGATCGCCTAGACAGCATCCGCCCTCTACGCACACGGTTCAGGGCAGTCCACCGTTGAGGAGGGCCCGGTATCGCGATCGCAACGACTTCAATCATCCCACCTTCCTGCCGAGTCCGCCCCCCATGCCCAACCCACACGCCCATCAGTCCACCGTGATGATGGACATGAACCACCAAGTGCCGGTTACCATACCCCTACACAATCACCACCATCATCACCATCACCACCACGAGCCACCGCCACCTCCGATGTGGAGTTATCCGGCCGCTCCGCATATTTCCCTTTGCACCGGTGGACCCGGAGCGCCTCCCCACGTTCACAATTGCCACCTGTACCCGTCGCAGTTGTTGCCGCAGCAGTTCATCGCTCCCAGTTACGGTGGATTCGGATCACCTCCCCCGACAAATCACTATCAACCGTTGCCACCCCCAGTAAGTTAAATGTCTGTATTGTTTTTCTGCATTGGATTCTATTGTTATTCTGATAATATGATTTCCATTATTGATGTAGTTATATGTATGTTTTGTTAACGGTAATTGCTTTCAGCGTTCCGATAACATTGAGATGGAGTTACTGAACGATCACCACGGGAACCACGCAGGCGGAGGCGGAGTGGCTCTGCATGTGCCAACCCTGCAAGTGTCGCAGCCCGTTTTCCTGGGATCGGAGGCTCGAGGACCTACCCAGCTGGATATGAGAACGAGGCGCGGCACTCGTTTGCCGCCTCCACCACCGCGTCCACGGTGGCCGCACGGTGGACCGCCCCCAGCCATAATGGCCGCCCCACCTCAATACTCCGGATTCCTGTTGCACTTTTTGTAAGTCTCTCTTTCATCTCCATCATCCATTGTTTGTCATATCGTTCTTTCATAGGGCAATGTTCTCAAATCCTCCTTTATCGCCATTCAGCCAAACCGAGCTGAGCAGTTCGGAGTCGGTCGGCGCCGAGACGGAGAACTACGAGGCTCTGCTCAATCTGGCCGAGCGTCTGGGCGAGGCCAAACCCCGGGGCCTGGCCAAGCTCGAGATCGACCAATTGCTGAGCTACAAATTCAACGCCGACACCCATCAGGGCGACCAAACCTCCTGCGTGGTCTGCATGTGCGATTTCGAAGCGAAGCAGCTGCTGCGCGTTCTGCCCTGCTCCCACGAATTCCATGCGAAATGCGTCGACAAGTGGCTTAGAGTAAGTACATTCTATTATCAATTTACAGCTTTCAAAAAACAAAAATATCAATAGGAAATACATCGACAGCGACGCATATCAAAACCGTTCCAATAATAATTAATAAATGTTTAATTTCAGTCCAACAGAACTTGTCCAATATGCCGCGGCAACGCCTCCGAATTCACGGTGGTCGATTAAAGGACGAGCATAATAATTAAAAAAAACAAAAAAAAAAACAGAAACCTCGAGGAGAGAAGGATGCAAACAAATAAAACAAGATATACATATAAAAAAACAACCTACACGTAATGATAATAATAATATAAATAACTCCATTAATTACTACATACATATATATCTCATGAGTGCCATTAGCTGCAGCCAGTATAAAAAGCATCAGAAAAGGGAAAACAAGCAAAAGCAACAAAGTGCGGAGGGGGGGTTAAATCGAAAAAACAAATGATTATAAAAGGTAACATGATGTAGAATAATGATGAACGAGAAAAGACAATTGCAATTTCTTCCTGATATTTTTAGTCACGCCCCCAACTCGCAAGACGAGATTTACTCTCTCACTCTCTATGAATATCTATTTCTCTCGTGTTTTCTATCTCTCTCTCTCTTTTTTTTCTCTAAACATATATATACATATATATATATATATATAAAAATACTTTTATTTGTAATCTCTCATTTACATAGCTGTAATATGTATAACAAAGGGCTTTGTTTAATTTTAAGCAGATGGAAAAATTGGACACGTGATCGTACTTGTGTTTATTTTCTCTCTCTCTTTCTCTCGATTGGACGACGAACAGCGGTCGGGGTGTGTTTTCGTTGATGTTTATTTAATTTTTTTTTATTATTTGTTTGGGTTTTTTGGAAGCCAACGGAAAATAATACAGTGCAAGACATTCTACGCAATAGAGTTTATAAGTGATAATCTACAAATATACAAAAGAGAAAGGCTTATACACTAACGTTTAGGCGCTTTATTACAATGAGAACACCATGGATTTGTGTATTATATACCAGTAGTGATTATATTTGTTTTCGTTTGTTGTAGAAAAAAAGGGCGCGACAGCACTAGACAATTTACATTTACTCTCTCTCGATTAGGTTTGATTTTGAGCGAAACTACCTCCCGGTGATAGAATATACTATATACATATTATAAATAAAAACAAACAAACAAAAAAAAAACTGTATAGAACCAGAAAATTAAATAAATTGTAATCAACACAAACACATACACAAAAATTTGCAGTGGGGCCAACAGCCGCGCTTTGTAATTTACTGGTGTCCACAACGAAAAGACAAAAAAAAATAAATAAATATTAACACACACAAACGCTATCAATGATCCCAGTTCAGTTGAGGACAATGGAAGCAATTCGAATGTAGAATTAGACACATTTTTGTTTTGTTTTTGTTGCTTCTCCGGTAAATTGCAATCGAAAGACGAAGAACTAAAAAAAAAACCAATGTAATTATAATAATAAGAAGATGAAGAAAAAGAAGAAACAAACATACTGATGCAGTGCGTTCTTTCTGTGATAACCGCAAAAATATCTTTTTTTTTTGCGTTAATTAATAATATAATTGAAAAAATAAAAAAAAGTGAAAAATCCGTAATAGAATTAAGTTCTCATTTTCAATTATTGTTTTTTATTGTTAGTGTATAATTATTTTGTTTATATATATATATATTTTTTAAGAGCTGGGGCGTGTTCGTAACGCGACACGCCCTCTTCACAATGCAACTAATTCCTTGTTTATTTTATTATTATTATTATATAGTTATTAT